CACTCACGAAGCTGCTGAGGCGAAGGGATGTCCCGCGAGCGCTGCTGCTGCTGCCGCTGCGAGCGCTGGCCACCACCACCGCCGCTACGCTGCTGGGTACCACCCCGACCAGCTCCACCTCCTCCACCACCACTGCCTCCTCCGCTGCCGCCTCCACCGCCTCCACCTCCGCCGCCTCCACCTCCGCCGCTGCCTCCACCACCACCGCTGGCACCACCACCACCGTCTCCGCCGCTGCTGCCACCACCACCACCACCACCCCCGCCACTAGTCCCGCCGCCACCCCCACTCCCTCCGCCGCCACCGCCGCCACCGCCACCGCCCCCTCCAGCTCCACCCGCGCCCTTGCCCCCCTTGCCCTTGCTGGAGCGACGTCTCCCACTAGGGGCAGACGCCGCGCCGACCGACTCAAGACCAAGTAGGTCGGCAGCAGCAGCAGAGGCAACAGAGGGCAGCAAGGGGGAAGGAGAGCACCCCTCAAAGATGGGGGTGCGAGGATCACCACGAGAAGCACCTACAGCGACTATGCTCTTCTCCGCTGCGAGGAGGGCCTTCTCGAGGAGGTCGACGGTGAGGGTGGTGGGACAGACGGCGAGAAAGTGGTCCCTGACGACTCGAAGGGAGTCAGGGAGGCGCGCGACTACGTAGTAGAGAGCGATGTACATGGGGGGGGGGTTCTTAGCGCAGAACTCAGCAGGAAGGGCGGCGCGGTTCGAGTGTCACTAGTGCGGAGGTGCGTAATGAGGTCAGCGACAGTGGGAAAGGCAGAGAGGTCAAGAAAGAGGTAGGGAAGCATGAGACGGCTCAGTGCAGCAGTGGCAGGGGAGGAGTAGCGCGCAACTACAGCGTCGTACAAGGTCTGAGCACTCTTGTACTGACTGAAGTGCGCACGCTCAGAGGTAGGGAGGTGGCGACGCACAGCAAGACGTGCAGCAGCATCGCGGGTGGCCCACTTAGAGCGGACAGCGGGATCAGCATCAGCAGCAGGAGCAGGAGAGGCGCCAGAGGTGAGATCAAAGAGAGAAAGGACGTCAGCCCTGTCGCACTGTAAGAACAGCTGCAGGTCGTCTAACCAGACCTCAAAATCAATGGCGCGATGCTCAGCGTCAAAAGCTAGGACACTAGGGGTAGCCATGGCGACGACAGCGACGCAGTGCAAGCAGCAGGGAAAGAGCTCGCAGTGTCAGTGGGACTGTGCTCACCAGGCGGGGCAGGTCGTGTAGGTATGCAGTAAGGCGGCTCAGCGACCTGGCGGCTCGGGTGCAGAGCGGCTCGGCTGCTGGGCGGCTCGGGCGCAGGGCGGCTCGGCTGCTGGGCGGCTCGGGTGCAGGGCGGCTCGGCTCCCGGGCGGCTCGGCGGCAGGGCGGCTCGGGTCCCGGGCGGCTCGGCGTCGGGCGGCTCGGCTCACGGGCGGTTCGGCTGCTGGGGCGGCTCGGCCAGGAGATGCAGGGGCGGGGCCGTCAGGTGCAGCGGCGGGTTGACCGGTGCAGTGGTGGGCCGGCAGGTGCAGCGGCGGGGCCGGCAGGTGCAGCGGCGGGCCGGCAGGTGCAGCGGCGGGCCGGCAGGTGCAGGCGGCGGGCCGTAGGGTGCAGCGGCGGGCCGTAGGGTGCAGTGGCGGGCCGGCAGGAGCAGCGGCGGGCCGACAGAGGAGGCGGCGGAGCCGCGTCAGGGGAGGCGGCAGGGCCGCGTCAGGGGAGGCGGCGGGGCCGCGTCAGGGGAGGCGGCGGAGCCGCGTCAGGGGAGGCGGCGGTGCCGCGTCAGGGGAGGCGGCGGAGCCGCGTTAGGGGAGGCGGCGGGGCCGCGTCAGGGGAGGCGGCGGGGCCGCGTCAAACAGGTGGCGGGGCCGCGTCAGGGGAGGCGGCGGAGCCGCGTCAGGAGAGGCGGCGGGGCCGCGTCAGGGTAGGCGGCAGGGCCGTGTCAAACAGGCGGCGGGGCCGCGATCAGGAGAGGTGGCGGGGCCGCGTCTGAGGGACAGCGGGGCCGCGAGGGAAAAGGCGACCCGAGGGGTCGCTAAAAAAAAGGCGCGCCTCGGGGCGCGCTTCGGTGGGCCCTAAAAAAAACGGTCCTAAGGCAGGACCCGCTCTATACCATGTCAGAATCCCAACCACTAGACCATTGGGATAAAAGGGCTTGTTTCAGTAGCGGGTCAGTGCGCCCATAACCCCCCAGGCAAACGCGCCTGTAACCCCCCCTAGGATCGATCGGGGATCTCACAGTGTAGCTCTACTGACAGGTACCTCTCAGCGCTCACCCCCTTGAACGATATGTACTCTCTCACGGTTATGAACCCAGATGTCACCAGTGCTTCGAGATACTGGCACATGTACACTCCGCAGTCCCAGCTGTTAGGTTGTTTGGGGATCTGGTGACCCTGCGCACCATCGAGACACCATGTTTCCGTTCATCAGAACGCGCTCCCGTATTAGAAAGCAAGTGGGATAGAATGAGCCATACTGTCTTTGGAGCATCTCACCTCTATGATTATCGTTTCTGCCTTGATGAGCGCTTGCCTAGACGCCTCCTGGTCCACCTCCGGATGATCGCGTTTGCACATGAGGTGCAATAACCTGCACGACGATATAGCCAACAGGTCAGATGAGGTCGCAGAACTTCACCGCTGAAAGGGGGTTGCACGGTGATATATAGCGAGTCTCACGCTTTAGTTCCGTCAAAGGCATCAGTAGTCTTGGCGTGGAGGCCGTCACTGTCGAACAGAATGAACTCCACAGGTGCGGCCGTCTGGCTTACAATCCCGCTCTGGTTGGTTACCACCATCAAAGAATAGTGTTTCCTGCACAATTGAGGGGCCTTTGTTAGGCTGGGGCGACAGACGGGCTTATTACAGCGGCTTGCAAAAGACGTACTTACCCGGCATATACCGGGACGGCGATGTAATCGTACTCGAACACAGACGGGCCCGTGCACCTCCCAATCGGCTTCTTGTGAAGCTTGGCATACGCATACGCCTTGCTGTCAAGGACCACCCATGATTTCCCGTTCGGACACCTTGGGTACCTGATGTTCAGGAGGCTGCACGGGTGCGAAGGGATAACGCACGATAAAATTTTAAACGTTAAAGTCGGCATACCGTAGGTGGCAACAAAGCAACCTAGAGGAGTATCGCCAACCAAAAACGTACATTTTATGGAAATCGACGACCGCGTCCCCCAGATATTCCTTGTCGGCGAGCGTCAATGCGTCGTGCGCAGTCACTTGACAGCCCACACCCATGTGGTTATATAGAGACACCGTCTTAAAGGTCGTTGAAGATGGTGCGTTCAGTAGAGCAGTCAGCGCGTCATTCGGCGCGGGCTCATCTTTGACGCATGGCAGCCGCGAGCCCCATGCTGAAACCGACGCGGCCACTGCGGCCTCGGTATTCGTATCCCCCTGCTGGAGTTCACGCGAGCGCAGCCGCTTGTTGCTCATCGATTCCGGGATCGTGGTGTTATCCCGCCGCGGCGCTGCCGGTGGCCTACGCGATGTCATGGCTTGTGGACTATGGAGGCCTCGTTTAGAGGCCTGGGCTTTGGTTCGCGGTACCATGGCGACTTCATGAGAAAGGCCAAAACCCTAGTGTGGCAAGAACTAAACTATCGGGCTGTAGTGCGATTGTTGCGTTTATACACTCCACCAGGCATCTTCGAGGATAAACATCTGATTTGCTCAGACGACGGAGACTCGGGGACAGAGGAGATTGTAGAATGTGGATACCACCATGGCGGTTCGTGATTGGCAGCGGGTTCCAGCCATATTTGACACTTGTCACAGTGCAATTGAGTGGAGATTACTGTACCCTCGTCAGCATGCACCGCCGATACTACGCGGAACCTTTATAAACTCAATTGTGCAGCCATTATCGGGACGACATATGTCCCGTTATGAACATAACCAAATGCGATTAACAGCGACGTAACATTTCGGCCACTCACCTTGACGCGGATGGGTTTATTTCGACTTCGTTTCAGTTACACCATTGAACTATTGTGGAACACTGAACGTATCGACGATGAGTGGAGATCCAAATTAAATGATGTATATTGATGTTCAGGGCGATGCGGCGTGATAGTTCCTAAACAGTATAACTATACCATGCAATGTAACAGTGTACCGACGTACGCATTCATGCGAACACTATCTCGGAACCCCAACTGACCCGGGCATATACTGTACAGGGTACGGAAATGTCACTAACAGATTAGCTTTCAGGGAACAAACATGTGGTTTAAAGAGTGCACAACCGTGGTAGCCTATGAGGTGTACCCATGTCATTGCGCAATCAGTAGCTTCTGTGGCCAATCCACGCCTGTCAGGGCAAAGAGGGAGTGGCCAGCTTGCGCCGATGTTTTTCTCACGCTAGACTCACTCATTGTCAATTAGCAGGTACATTGGACGCTGTACTCGCCAATCCTACCGGTTATATCATATGTCGCCATTTGTAGCAGACGCCACTTTACTTCCATGGCCGCTCTAAAGGATCTCTTGTCGCGCCTTGGCGCACCTCCCAGCGACGTCTACATATTTGTAGAGGTTTCTCTCCTACCTGCTCTGCAGCCATACCTGCATCCGTTCGTCGGTCGCAATGGGAATGATATGAAGAGGCTGTCTATCGGCCTTCTCTATTCCGCAGACGGCGCGCATCGCTTCAGGCCCATTGTAGTGAGCGCCGACCGGGAGCCACTGAGGCTGGGCCACGATGTCAGCGGCGACCAGTGGGCATATATACGCCGTACTCGGTCCGGCCGCATAACCCCCCAGGTAATGGCCAATTGTACTAGAGATGACACGCAAAAATGTCTCCTATATATGGACTCAATACGTTGGTGCTAAAAATATGTCTCTGTGATACTCTATGTTGTTACGTGCAGCTTTTCACGCAGTTCATGCTAGGCCTCAACGCTGCGAAATTTGCAGAGGACCGTGACATCGTCGTCCTTGTGTCCTCGCGTAGGCACAAGCTCACTTGGGGAGAGGGCAAGCGAGAGCCGAGTGGGCCCTTCATGGTGCAACACCTAACCCATACTCGCATTGTGCAGCTTCATGATGTTGTACCAGACGTGGGGAACCCCGTCGTGCAGGGCATTGTCACATTCTTCAGGTCCGAATTCCGCACAATGTGGGTGGACCACCAGACTCGCTTCATGAGGCGTGTGCCTCCATCTTGGGTGTGGACCAGCAACTCTCCATCGGCCGCGAACACGTTGCAGTGGACATTCCAGGCACTGTGGGGGGTGGCGACATCTCACATTCAGCTCGCGTTTTGGCGCACTGGGTGCGTCCCGGACGAGTGGCTGCCTCGGCTTCAGGCGATCAACCGCGACCTGCATGTCGAGGTTGTGGAGCAGCTCGTCGTTAGCCTCACGAGCCTGCAGAGGAGGCTGGACCAGTTGGACATCCCCGACTGCGTGATGGATGCATTGGACTACGCAACTTGGGATGACACCATGGACGAGGATACGGCCGAACGTTTTCCAGAGCCGGTCATCCGTCGGACTGATGATTCAAGCTGTGTCGGCCGCGTCAAATGGGACGACAGGATTCGCCGCCGGTTCATGCGTATGGCATCTGATGCGTACACAAGGCTTGCTAGCGCGACGGGAGTAGCTCCGAGTGTCGTCGTCACGCTTAAGCGCTTGGGGAACCCGGACCTCGTTGACCGTCTGCTGCGCACACCAGAGAAGAAGGTTAGGAGGCATTCATACGCGCCTTCCTCGTCCATGTCTTCCACGGCCAGCGAGGAGATATGCTTCAACTCCCCAACGGCATCTCTGTCTAGTGTGCATGGGGATATTGAGTATGGGATGTAGTAACAGATGAGCCCTATTGATCTCAGTAACCGGTGTATTTGTCGAATAATACGCACATTGTCAATCATTGTGTACGTAACGAGATTGTTCACGTTGGGGATATAGCACATTCCACGCTCAAACCGAGAGCGAGTAAAATGTTCACCTCCCCGATATGGCACATACTGAAGAACGCGCGAAGTAATTTTGCACTTTGTGCTCGGTACACCCAGTTGACCATGAAAGCGTGCCAACACTCCACAAACCATTCCACACCGCTTCCAATCGTCCCACCAGCCCGTTCCTCGATTTCCGTAGGACGGACACTTACAAAACCCTAACGTCCGCCTAATGTTACTGATTTCAGTTGGTAGTGGCATGATGAGCGCAACGCGTAGTAAAGCGCGCGACGTGCTGGAGCCTCGTCGGCGCAACACCCGGGGTTATTTCATACGGTCTAAGCCCACTATAGCCTACGCCATAATGCAGGTGCAGGGTGCCATAATGTCACAACGAGGTCAGACCCTTAGCGCGGCCACGATTCTTAGGTCTCTGGACCCATTCCTGGGTAGTGGAAGGCGCAGTCCTAGACAGCACAGGGCGCGCGCGATTTCAGAAGCCCGTGCGTCTCTTGCAATAACACCCGATGCACCCACACCGTTCATGTACCTGAGGCTCATATACGCCACGTATCCGGACGAGTCGGAGTCGAGCATTACACGTGCCAAAGATCGCCGGTTTATGACGTCAATAGCGGATTACAGACTCGTAAATCACAGCGCAACAAGCCTCGAGGATGTCATACTGCTGGAGTTACCGACATTTGACTACATAGTCGTTCTAATGGCCGAGGCAAGGGCGATGGGATATGAGGTGAGGATCGTTGGCGTGCCGACTGGGTGTGTTTCCGATGGCCATTAAAGGTGTGGGACGTTTATCTGGTGTGTAGGAGGAGAGACATCGGTCCGATGGGTCCAGGATTTCGGCACCTCACTCAAGAGACATATGCACGGGATGTGGCACCTCATCCATTGTAAGACGTATACGTTGTTCCGTTGATGCCCTTACAAAGGACGGTGTGTGTTGTGGTGCCTGCATATCCTACGCTAAACCCAGATGAAGCATGTTTCAGGTGCACAGGCCCAAGGTGTTGAAGGACATGGACGAAGGAGTGCGCATCGGGGATCTCAGTCGTGCTCTGGGAATGATACCTTGGTGGTCCAAGGTATCTACTAAGCCCATGCAAGAAGAGTCCATGACGGGCACCTCATCCAAGACTATTGATTGTGCCTACGATCGCCTAGTAAAGTATAACGCCAACCGGTAGACAGGACCTTTTGACTTATCGGCGTGTGGGCATAGTTTGTTACGGAACTGGATTAGACTGTGCCGTTGAAATGTTAAAATACTTGCAGATGTAGCCAGTTTGAGATTTGATGTATCATGTAAACATCAAACCTTTAGAGTTTTCAGGGCTGTTCACGCTATCGAGCTTCTTTGTACATGTCGTGTAACATACACCGTAAATCAATCGGGTGTACAACGTCGAACGGCGAGATTTTGGCGGCGATATCGCTGACGGAAATGGTTTCCGAAGTGGCTTTGAACAATGGCGATACAAGGAGTCATTTAGCACTGTGTGGCTATTCGTTCAAACCCTAACCTTATTCCCGTTATGGCCTCCCCTAGCAGCAACGACACAGAGGTAGCGGCGCGTCACATAAACAAGCTACTGGGTGGTAGCTTTGATCGAGATGGAACGCGTATGCAGGGAACGCCAGCGTGTGGTGATATAAACGCGGGTGCCGACATAAGTCGAGTTAAAACCGTCATTGTGACTGTTACACCCGAGCCACACACTGGTAATGGCCGACAGCCGGTGGTAGACTCATCTGATGATGAAACGGAGGATGGAGTCGCGGGGGCTACGCAGTCAATTACGGGACCTGTGAACCACGAACAGCCCACGATATCAGCAGGGGGGAATGTAGATGCTGCACACTCGGTACCTAGTAGCTGGGAGAGGATGCAGATTGAGGAAATAGCCGCGCGTGCGGAGCGCGAAGATCCACCGGCCGATTCACGCGAAGGTTCTACCCGCGTGAATTATCTCTTCGACTTCTTCTTCCCTGGCAACAGGGGCGACGCCAATAATGTTCCCGTTGAGACGGGAGAGTCAGACCCTCCAAACCCGTCCAGGTCTAGCTCGGCGTACAAGGTCCCAGGTACTTTCATGTCTAGCGCCGCTACTCCTACGAGGCACGTCCGGTCACAGACAAGTGAGTACGAAACAACATGAATTGCTTGACTGCGTGCTGCCACTTGTGGGAGCCATGTTGCACGTTATTAACCTCGCGCTGCTATGCGTTGCGCACATGTCCCATAGGATGTCCGGATGAACGTACACACCAATATGGGCGGCGCCGCGAGAGGCGGAGGCGTACGCACGTCGAGGACCCCAGAGGTAACAACCGTCCTGTTATTTGCCGTGACCGATGCTTCACATTGCCTCACGACTTGTCTTTGTGCCCTTATGGCAGATGGTACCAGGGCCACCAATATTGATGGAGCGTTGCTCCTGTTAGATGTACTTGATCGTCTCTTGCGGTGACGTCGTAGTCGGCGTGACCACCGTGGCAGCTATTACTGATAAGTTTACCCCAATATGGCAGGAATGTAAAGCATGCCGTACGTGTAGTGCTTTTAGTTGCCCTGACCCCGCTTATGTATTCGATTTTAAGTATGCCATTGAGTTTTTGTGTGACACATGTGGAAAATGCATTGGCATAGGTTTCCTAGGGGTGTGAACAATTGTTCTAAAATTTCACCGTTTATGTCTGGCAAGGATGGGAGATAGTCCATCGGAATTGACAAACGGGGTTCGAACATTGATGATCTATGTTTTGCTGTATCGAGAATATTCCCACGTCGTGGTGTAACCACCGCGCCTGAACAAAGCAATTGCATACTTCACGAAGGGATGTCTTGCCGCATGCATTTCAGACGGTTAGGGTTTCTCGCTACGGATAAGGCCGCCCGCCAGGACTCTCCGCCCTTTTGTGCGTACACGATGTATTTGACGAGCCATTATAGCAGCTGTGATAATGGGGTGACGTAGGCGGAAGACCCATGTTCCGAACATGCAGTAGTAGTAACTGGAGTAATAGAACGGTCTGCGGTGCGCAAGACGTGGTGTACGGAGTTTCGGTGGTAGGATGCAGGGCGTGCGCGGCTCGAAAACAGCATAGCTCCTACATGCGTGTAGTGGAGAACATGCATGACGGTAATGGTTAGCTAATGGGAATTAGAGGGGAAGTCAGGGAACGGCCATTGGGTGTGTGCGCAGATTAAGACACATGGCAGGGAACAGGTGCGGGGCGTGCGGGCAGGAGCTGGAGTCAGACAACCTACTGAGAATCCATCTGTATCGCAATGACACGTGCAGGGACACGCTGCTCGAGAGGCTCGAGAGTAGGGCGGTGGAGGCGTTGGCGGAGGCTTTGGCCGAGGTGAGAAATAGCCCGCATGATTCGGACAGCGAGTCAGTCCCGGGCAGCCCCCACTCCGCCGACTCGCTGTTCAGATATTTGAGAGAGTTTCCCGAGCACGCGGATTTTGTGCGCGCGTACGTGTCGACGTCGGACGATGGATCTGTATCCATAGTTGGCGACCTGTTCAACACCTTGAACGAGCTGTACCTGTTCTTCAAGGACGCTGATTTGTCGGACAGAGAAATAAATAGAGTGTTGCACATATTCAACCACCCGGGATACGATCCTGCAGCGGTTCGACGCTGGCAGAACGTCCCCGACGTCAGGCGGTTTGGGGAGGAACACGCGCCGGACGACATGGTGCCGTGGCTCAAGGCAGAGATTGAGGTGCGGGGCCCCGGAGGAAGGTGTCAGATGCTGGAACTGCTGTACAAGGACACCAAGCAGGTGAGCGATTGATGGTTGGTGCTGCACGGAGTCGGCGAGTGTATGTCTGTTTATGCACTGGCTATACACAGGCTTCACGCGCCTCCTTGTGGACAGATTGCGCAGAAGATGGTGAAGACATTTGTGAATGTTAGGGGATTTGTCAAACGGTCGCAGCGAGATCCAGAAGATACGGCTGAAACAAGACATTTCAGTACCCCCGACACAGGGACTTGGCTGGAAGAGGCGCAGGCAAGTAGAGGCAAATGTTCCTAAGCGTCACATTGGACTCTGATGTGAGTTAGTCTGACTCTGTTGGTCGCCTTGTGTCGTTGTCAGGCGGAACTGCCGGAGGAGGATTCTATGGTGCTGGGTGTCATCTCGTACAGCGACAGCACTTACGCGTCGGGGAACGGACGCCTACAGGCATGGCCAATGTTGATGGGTTTGGTCAATGTCCCGGAGGAGTTACGGTGGCGTGAGCCTGGGCATGCGCTAGTGGGTGTGCTCCCTTTTCCGCCGGAGTGGGCATGGGCGACAGAGAAGACGCGGGTGTATCAGGAGGCGTATTGCATCGTGATGGGTGAGAACCGCGAGTTAGTGGTCCGAATGCATGCTCTAGGCCTGTTCGAGGCGAACGGGGTCATTGTCGGTTTCTGAGACCCATCAAACGTGTACGTGGTGCATGCAGTGGTCCTCTTCGAAGCTTCGATGTGTCAGACGGCCGGGGAGGTGTCGTCAAGGCATATCCATGCCTCTATGCATTTGTTGGCGACTATCCGGAAGGGTGCCGTGCCACAGCAACGATGCAGTAGGCATCGCACAGACCGTGCTCGAGCTGCTACATCAAGAAAGGGCACCTTCATGACCTGTCAAACAAGTCAATAGTGCGCACTCTGAAGGGAGAGCGGCATGCGGCGGCGAAGATACTGAGCGCTACGATGGTGGAAGACGCTACAGCGATCCAGGCCAGGTGGTCTACGCATCCGATCACGGTGCGCGCTCGATGTTTGTGTGTGGCAAGTCACATGGCCGCGGCCATGATTGTAGCGGCTTGATGTTGCTTTTTATGATGAGTCTGACAGCTCCATTCAACGTGCAGAG